TAGGACACGTCATGTTACCTCCACGCAGTTGAAGCAGCCTCATTTCTTTGGTATTCCAGTTGTAAGGGGAAACTTCATCTAAATGACCTTTTCCCTAAAACTGCAAGTTTGTACAAATTTTCGTGCGGATGCTTTCTTGTACACTATAATCGTAATCTCTTCAGGTTAAAGGTCAATCACTATCTATCCTCTGTACTCTCATAATTTTTACTTTCTGACGCCCACTCCTTCATTCATATCACACATATAACATTCATTATCAATTTAGAAGGGATTTTCTAACTTGACAGGCTCTCCAGCCTTCCAGATGTTGAAATATAAAAATACTTTTTAAAAAACTGACACACATTTGAATTTTCTAATTTATTTTCTTTTTCTTGTTTCGTTGATATTCAAAATTATTTCCAACTTCCTACCAACTCTTTTACACACCTCTTTCACTAAAACACTGCTTCAAGTGACACTCGAGCCTTGTATTAGATGAATTCTACGATTACAAAACAAAGCTACGGAAGATCAAATGTCCTGTATAAAGACGGGATTTTGTTTGTTTACTTTTAGGTCAAGTAAGTCTTCCCACTTAAGATTAATGAAATTGAAATACAAACATCCTTACATTCACTCAGTTTAGGTAAAGTAAATAATATGTTAAGCTCTCTAAGCTTTGTATGGCGACTATTATTTGATATAAGATTACTTATTGCCAAAGCAAATAGAGTTTGTCATATAAATAACGTGAGTACGCTGTATAAAAAGGAAAAATTAACGGGAGTTCAACCCCAAGTACGAAAGCCTCGAAGCATTAAAAGACTTCCCTAAAGAAAGAAAAAAAAACGCAACCTCTATAACTTAATTGTTGGTACATTTTTCTATATAAAATATATATGAAAATGTATCAATTATTATGGGACAGATGTATATACCCTGCTTCTTAATATTAATATTCATTACTTTCTAAAACTTCCATCCCATAATAGTTGGTACATTTAGTTTATGGCGTATCTGTGAAAATGTACAATTACGGCACAGAATTTGTATTTACTCTGCTTCTCTGATGACGATTACGAGTATTAGCCGTGTGTTTAGAACGCTAGCTTTCCGTCCATGCGACCCGGGTTCACATCTTACCTTGACGGATTTGTCAAGAAGGTGACTTCTTGCTAATATTGGTGTGTTGGGGGATCCCAACATGCGGCACCGTCGGAAACCACGTGGAAATCATACCACGGATTGACCGAAGCCTTGTGAGTGAAACTAGGGAGACAAAGCTGGTCGGAATCTATTGAAAGTCACAAATCCCTTTTCCTTGATTCGTTGCGCTACAGTTTTTCCTTTTAGGTATATGTCTGGCAACAGGACTCTGAACTATATGGAGAACCCAGTGATGGCTGTCAGACAATTTCTGAGACTACATCAGCCCTTACATCTAACCACCTAACTCCCCAGACTGCAACCTCATTGGTTATTACGTGTCGGGTGCAGTTGTGCGGGAGACGAACAAGACTCCTTGTAACACCAAAGATGAACTGAAGGCAAGGATTATGGCAGCATTGCCCAATATAAACAAGGAGACCGTCCAGAAGAGATGCAGGAGATTTCGAAGTCGTCTGGAGGCCGAGGTTGAAGCCAATGGCGATTTCATTGATTAAATTTACTCTTTAGTATTTCAAGATATTTTTGTGTAATTTTGGTCCATATATCATTAGTGCGTAATTTAGACGACAATTTATCCATCGTATCATATATATATATATGTGTGTGTGTGTGTGTGTGTGTGTGTGTGTATTTTTTCTGTTAATACGTTATTTTTATCGATACAAATATTTAAGTAAATGCTCGGTTTATAATGAACAGTATTAACAGCATTTACCGGCCTGAATATCCGAGAAATCTCCTAAAAACATGTTTCCTCCGACAGGAATCGAACCTCTATCCTACACGGAACTGTCATAAAGCCTGACATGCTATACCATTTAGCTACAGAGGGAGCGTCTGTCAAATTACTGTTTTTAAACTACAAATTTCTAATGATTTCTCTCGAACGCTCATATCTGATCGAAGCGTATCTTAACGTAAACAAGTGACGTCATGTATTTTGAAATGGACTAAGTCCGACAAATATTTATTTTAATATTACCTTGTGCTCTTATATATAAATATATAAATAAATATTTATAAATATAAATAATAAAGCGTTAGGAGATCATTTGGCCTATAATGCCTGAGGATACCGAAAGGTTGAAACCAAGGTAGAGTGAGTGGTTTATCTCCTAATTTATATATATATATATATATATATATATATATATATATATATATATATATATATATATATATATGTATATATATATATATATATATATATATATATATATATATATATATATATACACACGATCCCTTCCTTTTGTATTTGCTGTAGGAAAAGATTCAAATATATCAAAATTGAAGTCAATCTTATTTTTGTCCATTTTGAAGCCTGCCTAATGTTAATCCCGTA